TCGAATCTGCATCGCTATTATAACTGCGACTCTAACCCTCCCTTGCCGACAGACGACAAAGTCATCTTTCATTTCGACAATCATTAACAGCAGGGTTTTCTGGAGGGATTCTCATTGTCCGCCTAGAATTACTTAGTTAGCTAACCGTGAGCTAATGACAGGCCTCTGTCAGTGCAAAGTGAGGAAAGCAAACTTCCGTAGAACCTCACTGACATGAGATTAGACACCTAATATTTCGATCTCAAACACACAAGCTTTATGGACTAATAAACTAGTTAACAACATTAAATAATATATGAACTTAACAGCAAACTGAAAAAAACATAATGCATTTTCTTATGTACGAATACAGTCAGTTTCAAACTACGCAAGGAACTGCGAACTTTGCCCAAAATTCAGCTGTTGATTCTTAATACCGTACCGTTAAAAGGATGTTTAGGTTTTAATTTTTGACTAAATAATTTTGTAGAAAGTTGTTTAATACCTTTCGATAAATTCAAATTTTTTGCTACAAGTAAATCACCTAAGAAAAGTTCCGCTACTGTGAATTTTCTGGAAAGCTGCTAATCATTAATGACGCCAGTAAAAATAACATAACCCTGTTGCCTCTCCCGAACTGCGCACTGTATCGCTTCTTCACGTTGCTTCCAACAGACTAAAGGACCGTTTAATCAGTTCACTGCCCCATTTTATTTTAGCAACTACGGAGCGTAGGTGCAAGGCAGCGTCACTTGTTAGATCGAAAAAAATATGTTCTAACGCAAGCGAATATACTTAAGTGTACTCTTATGCAGTATTAAATATTCGTTGCTATTCGAACATGCATTTGTTCGACTAGAGAAGTAATGTTTCTTCGCATCCATGCTCAGTAGCTGCTAAAATACTATGGAGCTGTTGAAATTGTAGTTTAAGCTGTTAGCAGCGAAAGGACATTGCGCTTTATCGTTTAAACGTAGAGAGATGAAAGGAGAATGAAAAACCACCAAATTTGCTGCATAGAAATGAGAATTATTTTCAGACAAAACAATAATGAACATAAAATTTAGATAAAGCTGAAATGGCATTAGGACTTTGGCAGTGGCATAATTGCTTTGTAATCTGATATATGGTCTACAGATGATCACAGCTTAAGATATTTCTTGCTCAGTACCAGATCTCTACAGCAAAGAATTCACCAATTGTGCTTCGATATTGCCACTCGAGAAATGACGTCTTTGACGAGAAGGCATACGTGTTTCGTTAATCTGGATATATTTTGACGCATGCTTCGCTAAGACTCTTTCTTAAAGAAAATGGGTCTTTGGAATCTGCACCCTCGGTTACTTTGTTTTCCTGCTGCTAATGTCGATGATTGTGAGGGCCTCAGTACTAATGTTCTCATTTTACCTGGTTGTAGAGCAGATCTGTGTCTGGGCAGGTTGTAGTGTCCATAGCGCCGAATTTGTTCTGGACTTACATATCGAGGGCTTCGAAAGTACCAGATTCTGTCAGTTCGTCTGCACTATAGCACACATCTTCCTTTCAGGAATGTTCTATGAGTTGTTGCAGGAATAAAGCGAGGCTTAGCAATCATCCAAGTCAGTTGCGAGCGCCGCACTTCTCTCGCTCAGGTATCATTAAAGGCACTTCATTATTATTTATCTTCATGCATATGTGTCACGTTACAATTTCAACAACGGGTCGAAGATTCACAAGGCCAATTGTTGTCAAGTAATAATGCCTGCTTGACAAGTGCATCAGATTGTAATTGCTTTGAACGAAGGTTAGTGGGTGCCATGTCATGCGAAAATGGTTAACATAAAGACTGTTGTAATGTGCAGTTGTGCATCACCAATCAGAATAACAAGCACTACTAAATTTTAAGTTCCTTTCGCTCACGTTAATTTCCGTCCGCAAAACAATGAAAAGATTTCAGCACGCTCATTTCGGGGATTAGTGCAAACGATGAAATCTAATTCTTATTTCAAGGTTTGAGATGGCCCTTTTTTGTTTTATTACTCATTCTTCTAGAAGTAATTACTTAATAGGCGTGATAGCCTTTAGAACTTAGATCACAGGTGTCTTATTATGTTTCAGTAACAGCACTTATGACGGTTCTTTCGATTCATATCACTGAGGCTGAAAGCATGCTCAGAGAAGTGCTTTATTTTTTCATTCAACTCCGCATTTTGATTATAACCTGTACTTCGCAAACCTCTTGTGGAAGTTCGATTGTGGACCGATAAATGACATATGTATTTATAGAATTTCGCTGTTTGTCAGTGTTCTCGCGCTGAACAAAAAGAACTAACTGCACGCAAATTAAGCAGTCGGAAGTTCCTGTATCGAAAGAACTACTCTGAAATCGGTAATGTCTGTTAGAACTTGAAATATTTAGCTACAAAAAAATCTAGTAACGAAGTTGTTAATACGCATTTGATTTATTTTGACTTAAGTAATGGAATGGAAGTAAACTAGAGTATTACAGTTCCTTTAGGCAATGGCTGTTGCTGTTCGAACTGTCTGGGTCGGCATCACTGTCGTAAACATTAGGATGTACCTAATTATCAGACATCGCAGCCACAAAATAATGAGTTTTGGGTAATTTATGTCGTGATAAACCATTGCAAATGCAGCATTAACGAAGGTGGCAACGAATATTATAGTCGCACGGTAGAAAGCACTAATATGCTCAAAAACTTTATTTTAGGTATCAACCTTCCGTAAACGAACAATGAACTTCAAATTCGTAAACTTTTTTTTCGCACTTTGGTTCGTTCCTTGATACAGTCCAGAGTTCAGATAGCCGAAAAAAAACCGTGTAGAGCCGCGATGGTTTGGATATATTTGGAAAGAAACCGAAACAACAGCAGTTCGCTTCATCGAACCGCTGAAAGCAAACTTAGAAGACCAAAAATGAAATGGAACAAGTTGTTCGGTGGACACTTCTCTAGACTAGAGGTACCCTCTGCCAAATTCCAGGAATTAGCATAAAATCGGAAAGTTAGCATCTTCTCGATGCTGCTGCCTCCGCAACCCTGACTAGTAAGCGAGCATCTAAACTGGCTGACACTCTCTGTGATTTTTCTCATGTATTCAATTAGACAATTTTTCTTCATATTTCTCGATTCCGCGTTGTTCGGGTGATTCCATGCCACCGCTTAGAAGGGAAGAACAGATGTGTAAATAGAAAACTTTCAATCATAACTAATTTGACTCCATCAATTACATTTAATTTAGGTTGCTGGAAACTCTTGTAAATTCATCACCAAAATATATTTAAAAAAAGTCCTCTTATCCATGGTAAGAAATGAGTGGAAGAATGTTATTATGAACATGATTTTGTTAACACTCCATGGACAATAACTGTAGTTCTAAGTAAATTTCTGATTCAGTTTTTTTTCCAATGAACAGATATGACAATTTTTTCTAATAATATCATATTTTTCCATCGACAACACGCACTTATTAGA